CATTACGTCTTAGAGTTAGAAGAAATTGATTATATGTTTCAGATTAATCAGTCAAGTTAAGCAATTAGACTAACTTTTAAAAATCGAGAGTATAAATATTTTTTAGAAAAAAAAAGATCAAATTTTAAATATTCTTCGCAAATGACAAATACAACTTTAACTTCAATCGTTTACACTTAAATAGTAAAATTATTATCTCATATAAAATAATAATAATAATAAATATATATATATATATATATATATATAATGTACATATATATTAAAATGAACCCACTAAAATTAAGTGAGAAGCTTTAGCTCAATGGATAAGGGGTTCAACAATGACTTTTACGTGGGTTCAAATTCCAATTAATGCATGGAATTGGGCTCAACTTTTGGGCTTGGATCATCTTCTCTTTTGCATTATTTTTTCTCTTTTATGTCATATTTTTCTAATTTGTTTTTGTTTAATTTATTAGACACATTTTTTTTTATTCTTCTTATATCTATTAGTCATTTTATTTCAACATAATTTTATGTACAACTTTTTTAAAATGATGAATTATATATATAAAGATAAATTAGATGTAATTGAATGAAGAAACTAAAAATCGTCAATATCGTTTTAATAATATATATTTAATAGAATTCATGGAATTTCTTTTCTATTTTTTCAATTCTATTTTACAGAGATGGAAACTAAACTTATTTGATTTATTCGTCATTTTTTTTCAACAAGTGATGACTAACCTAGTAAATTAAACTACATGAACTAAAAAAAATTGATGATGCAATTTATTTATCTTCTGAATATGCATTATAATATTAGTAAATCTATACTTACACACTTTTAGAGAATCTTGGTAATTTTTCTAGTAATATGTGTTTGAATGGATACTAATTTAAAAAATTTAAAATGCAAAATAAAGTAAAACATTACAAAATAAAAGTATAAAAAGTACGAGAAATTTTAAGAATGCTCAATGGAGCAGGGTAAAAGTGGGAAGAAATGCTTAATGCGGTACAATAAGGTAATATAAATTTAGCGGGTTAAGGTAAATATTTTTTTCTTCTCCGTCTCGCTTCCTTTTTCATTCTTTAATTTTCACGTGTTTTAGGAATTAACTTATGTAATACAACTGATCCACTAATTTTCTTTTATCAACGTAGCTTTGTTCTCAATATCTTTGATTAGTTTGGTGTTAACTTTTATCAACCAATACCTTGTACAAAAAGCATGTCGGGGTTACTACGCTCACCGTGCACTTACATTACCACATGAGCTTCTTCTTTAAATTTCGAACCCCCTGAGCTTAATTCCTCGATCCGCCACTATATATATATATATATATATTTCATCCCGTATACTTTTAAAAAAAAAAAAAAGTTTATGTGCTTTTACCAATGTTAGTGTGGACATCACGAGAAGAAAAAGAGAACTTTACAAATCTATAGAAGATATGCTTTATAGTTTCCAACTTTCATGGCTCCTCGTGACTAATTTAAAGAAAGTGAGTGGTATCATAGTGATAGCTCCTTTTACCACAAAAAAAACCTATACTCATTTTTATTCGTAAAACACTACAAAATACTACTTATCCTCATAGTAAAGTTGGTGATAGTAATTACTAACTTGAGAGGTTGTGGGTATTGACTAGGGTGGTGGTAGATTATGGTAGCAATGATTGAGATAGTACGCGGAAGCAAACAAATAACTGTAGTATATGATAGTGATAGCTAATGATGATGATAGTTTATAACAATAGTTTATATTATATACTTATAATAATAATGATTGATTATATGTAGTGATGGATAGTTATATGATATTAGTGTTGGTAGCGATTATAAATAGTGGCTAATGATGATAAATATTAACTATGGTGATTGACGGCCGATGGTAATTGTGATTGGAAATATTGCATTGTAGGTGGTGATAGTTGATAATGATAAACGGTGACCATGATTAGTGATGAAAGTGGGTGATAATGTATTAATGATATCAAATTTGTCATAGATTTCAATTATTCAAATATATTTAAATCGGTTAAGTGATTGTAAAAGAAGAAGAAAAAAACACTTTGATTCAAACTTAAAAATAAATATACTCAGTAATTATAATTTAAATGTTAAGATTAAGATATTCACTGAGTGCAAATAAACGAAGCTTAAAGAGTATATATCTTAGATATTCACCAAAAAACTAGAGGATTACTATTATTACAAGTCCAATAAAAATATGTGTGTGTTTAAACTTAATTAAATCATTGAATACACGAACATACACAACTATAATCTAATTATGATTAATTAATATTTATATCCACTCCATTAAATCATTTAACTGTGGTAAGCTGCATTTGTTTGGTATAAACACTTTATGCGAATAAGTAATTGCTCTAGTTCTCTATCATAGTGAAGTTGGAGGTTAAATTATATATTTGAAACGTTGCTATTCAAGAATGGATTGGGCATTTGGTCTAGTGGTATGATTCTCGCTTAGGGTGCGAGAGGTCCCGAGTTCAATTCTCGGAATGCCCCTTTAAACTTTCTTGTATTTTATTTTTTTGGCTTATTGATGTTCAAACCATATCTGCAAAATTTATTGATGTTCATGTTTTCCATTTTCCACGACTCCATGAGCAAGTTTCAAAAATTAATAATGCAAAAAGAGAATATTTAGTTAGTCGAATAAAAATTAAATTAATGAGATTGATATATTGCTTGCGATATTACTTTTCAGTTTTGTCAAGTCCAATACCGAAAAAATCAACTCATTCCTTCCTTGAAGGATGAATAAAAGCCTCAAAACACATTATTTTTAACGCCTCAAAGAATGTGTTCTTTACTTGCCTTGTGCAAACCATATCATATTCACATAAAATTCACATCACTCGCTAGATTTCAAATGCATCTAGTTGTAAGAATAGTTCAATGTTACAATTGACCTTTTTTTAAATATTATTTTAGAGCAACTGTTAGTAAAAATGTAGTTTTGAGATACGAAAGTGTAACGAACGTGAAAGGGGTGTGTAAAAATCGAATCGATCAATAAATTGAATTGAAAAAAAATGTTATTGGTTTATTCTTATTAGGTTATTGGATTAACGAATTTTTCATGGTTTTGTGGAAAAGAAATTATCAGGTTATTGGTTTTAAATATTGGGTTATTGGGTAAACCGATAACAACAATAATTTACTATTTTATCCATACATAAATATTAATCTCAGTACCTTATTGGTTACTGTCTTTGCTTATTAGCGTTTAATTCACACTTTACAGTAACTTTGAATTCACAACTGCACGTATACAAAAATGTCAAAACCTAAAGTAAGAACCATATTCTCGTAATTTATTTTTATGTTGCACTTGTATAGTTCTTGAATTAGTTATTATTATTATTTTTATTTTATGAGCATTCGTAAAGTTACATTATTATTATTATTTTCTTATTGAGTAAAACCAAAAATCAAATCGTTAAGAACCAAAACTGATAAAAAATGTCTTATTGATTTGGCATATTTAAAAGGGAAAAGGCTCAAAAATGCCCTTAACCTATTAGAAATAGTTCAAAAATGCCCTTCTTCCACCTATTGGTTTTAAAAATGTCATTAACGTTTTCTCTAGGTTAAAAAATGCCCATTAATTAACAGAAATATGACATGGAATTTAACTTAACAAGTGGCCATTTTATATTGGTCCACATAAAATTTTTTACCCAATTAAAAGATCCGACCCAATCCAATACCCAGACCCATTTCACTGATGATTGAAGCCTTTTCTCTGTTCTTTCTTCCTCTGTTTTTTTCTTCATAAATGGTAGATGTTTAATAGCTTTCAATCAAAAAATAACAGCCAAACTTCAGCATTTTAACTCGGCAAAACCGATAAAATGTAAATCTTAAGGCTCAAAATAAAATGCTTGAAATTCAAAAAACAACAGCTACAGTAATTAAAATGCAGAATTTAAATCCAAAAAATCACAGCTATAACCAATAAATAGCAGCTAAAATGCATAATAGTACAGGCAAAAAATACACCATCATATAAGGATGAAATGCTTTTCATTTAAACATCAGTTTAAAGCCTTACATAGCAGAAATCTTCTACATTTCAAAACCAAACTAACTTTAGAACTGTACTAAAAAAATAAATAGCAGCTAAAATGCATAATAGTACAGGCAAAAAATACACCATCATATAAGGATGAAATGCTTTTCATTTAAACATCAGTTTAAAGCCTTACATAGCAGAAATCTTCTACATTTCAAAACCAAACTAACTTTAGAACTGTACTAAAAAATAATATACATTTGGTAGAAGAACAAGCAGAACTAGCTGCCCTTTGCACTTCATACATGATTCGACGACTTAGATTCAACAATGAATTGTGGTCCAATCTTAACTCGAAAATGACGAATCCCCACTCATCGGCCCGTGGGAGAGTACGAGTGACGATGTGCTTACAAGAGACAAACTCATATCTTTATGTATAGTACCTGAACTAAATTTTGAAGTTCTTCAATTGAAGGGCATTCCTATTTCCTGTAAAAAGAGATTTTTGAAGACTCACAAGATTCCTTTGGAAGATCAATGTTGGGTTTGGGTATTTGATTCGGTTCTTTTAATTGGGTAAATAATGATGTGGACCAATATAAATTTGTCATTTGTTTAGTTAAATTCCATGTCATATTTCTGTTAATTTATGAGCATTTTTGAACCTAAAGAAAATGTTAAGGATATTTTTAAAACATTTTTTAACCATTTTCAATAGGTTATGGACATTTTTGAACCTTTTCCCTATTTAAAAACCAAAAACCGACCGATACGTGAAACTAACCCATTTGAAACAAAAAATATAATTACGCTAGAAGGAGGGCTTGAACCTCCGACCTTGTGGTTAACAGCCACACGCTCTAACCAACTGAGCTATTCCAGCTTCTGGTTTCTCATTTATTTAATTTAATTATTATCATTCTTGCACGTGCATGTCACAAGTCTTGCCTTTCCTGGACAAGGAATTCTCAGCATTTGGCCGTTCACCTTCGCACCAAAATCCAAATCCATTACGGATTCCGGAAACCACAAATTCTTACAATTTGATGAATCCGAAATCTCTGTCTGCTTGAAAATTCAATCCTTCTTCCCTCTCCGTTGAATCCAAAGAAGCCTTGCAGTTGCACGAACTAGAAATTTCTTCATCAATGACGGAGGATAATTGCCCTAGAGTTTCATCTTCTGAAACCGTAGACTCCAATTCTTCATCAACGAAGCAAAGGTGCATAAAAATTTCAGTTTTTAATCTTAGTTTTTTGTATGCAAACCACTTCAATTGAGATCTAAGTTTCCCTTCATATCATCGACTTAGGTCAAAATTGAAACTTTTCACGTATGATTAATTTTGTTCGCTATATCCTGAAAAAATATATTGTCTCTATAGTTTGGGATTGAGCCTAGTTGTTTCATACATTGATTGGTCCCCTCAACTTTTTTGCTGAGAAGCCCATTCCGGAACCCTATTAGCTCCGCTGGTATAATATGTTAGTAGAATACTACTTTGATTTCTTTCCAAAAAGTAGAAACGAACAGTCACGTAGTTTTAAGTAAGCTGCCATGATTAGATACGGGTTTGACCTAACTCAGTAATTAACTTTGGTCCAAACTTTTTGGCTGATGCTGGAGTTGGATTATTGTTTATTGAGTTCGAGGTTTCGCATGACTGTCTCCCACTATTTTAATCCTTTTGATGTATTATTGGTTCCGTGAGTTTGTCAGTGTCCTTTTTGCTCTGATGCTAAAATGAAAAAGTTCGGCAACTGAATTAGTACTTTGTTGAGATGAAATTGTTACTCTGTGGGAAGAAGCAGTATTGAGGTAATGGCAGTAGTAGTATTTTCACCGGGAAGTTACTGTTTTTTAGGCATTTAGAGAATCTGGGTTAACATAATAAATATTAGATGGATTGTTTGCATTATGCTGCAGAAGAGGAAAGAAAAATAAGAAACAACAACATACACAATTTGATTGATTGATTAATTAATATTAGAAAAATGATGAGAGACAGCTTTGTAGTCTAATCAGAAGAGTAAGCTCTTCTGGTGGTATAACCTTTCAACATCTTCCAGGAAACGGAGAAAGTGGGATCAGCCTGCGGAGACATTTGTTCCAGAAGGGGTAGCAGTATCTGGGATTTTTCCATTGGTAAATACTGGTTCTCTTGCTGGTATCACACTACCTGGCGTAATTCCAGTCTTGGGTGCTGCTTTTACGAATCCTCTTACCGCTATTGGTGCTACTACAGTGCAGCAGCTTCCCGTAATTATTGCCCAAAAATCAGTTCAAGTAAGATCATCAGAGAAGATGTTGCTTATTATTTTCTTGTTTGGAAGTATTCCCCTATTACATGAGGTTGTCACCTAGCTCTAGTAGTTATTATCCAAATTCATGATTTACATTCTCCCAATATTTGCTTTTCTTCCTTTTCTTTGTGGGTGGAAGAAATTATTTTTGTTGTCAGTAAGCGTTGCCCAATTATCTGCCTCCTTATATCATCATCAAAAAGAACAAGTTCTCTGGTTCACTTCCTGCAGTTTTCTTACTGCAAATTAACAGTAAATGTGTTTGTTACCCATCCTAGGAAATTATACTGAATCAGGCATGTTCTTTGTGTCATTTTTCCATTACCCTTCTACGAAATGCTGTTCAGAATCAGCTCTATTTTTTGTTTGGATCACTTCTGATTTTCCAATGAGCTATTGCAGCCGAAAATTCAGGATGAGTTGATAGCAAGAGAAATTGTCATTAATGATGCTGATCCGTCTGTTCGCTACAGGCTCACAAAGCGCCAAACACAGGAAGAGGTGAATATTGTTAATGGGTTTTGTAAGACTAAAGATGACTCGAGAAGCAAATGTGATTATCTTAAGGTTATGCTCATTATTTATTGATCAATTATCACTGTTTCTGCAGATTCAGAAGAGCACGGGTGCTGTGGTTATAACTAGGTAGCACACCATGAAGTCTTATTATATTGCTTATTGTTTAGCCTTTATTTACAGTGTGATACTTATTTAACGTGGCTATTGCAGGGGTAAATACAAGCCTCCAAGCGCACCATCCGATGGTGAAAAACCCCTATACCTTCATATTTCTGCAGGGGCACATGTAAGCAAGTTTAGTTACTTGCGTTTGGATGCACCATTTGGTTCAGGAAGATTGCTGATAAAGTTTTGTCCATCACTAAATTGCATAGATGAATCATTTTTCTGTGCATTTTTAATTAATCAATGCATTTGCCTTAGTGTCAACTTGTTTCTCTGAGTTTGGTTTCTGTGTTTTTTCCAACCATTGAAGTGGTTACCACCTATATTCTTCTGCTCGTCTTCTCTAGTTAAGAGTTCATTTACTGCTAAATTTTTTTCCCCGTTTTTATCCAATGTATACTACACATGACTGGAGAATCTGGAAATATCATTTCTCTTTAAAAGCAAAACCCAAATCATATTCCTATCTTCTGAACCTTTTCTACTTTTTTTAAAAAAATGTCTACACCTTTCATCTATCCAGCCAAAATTTAGTGTACATGTTTGGCTTGGCAAAGTTAGCGAGAGTTGAAAACATAAAAGTATAAGGTTAGAAATCCATTAATAACCTTTTGCTTCTTAGGAACAACAACAACAACATTACCCAGTAAAATCCCACAAAGTGGTGTCTGGGGATGCTATCTTAGGAACAAAATTAAAGAAAACAGTTGAGTGGAGAAATGTCTCATTAAGTTTCAGGCTATGTTATATTTTATAAAACACTTCCCATAGGGAAATTGTACTTATCTTGGGTCACACTATGAAGAAAAAATTGTTATTCATTAAAGTGGGACTTCTCTCTGTAACCTTTCAAGTTTCATTATTTTGACCTTTTACTTTTCTGGGTGAAGTGATTGCTATGGTGTATTTACATGTACTGTGGTTGACTCAGCTAGAAACAACACTTGAGAGGATCAGAGCAGTTGATCGTGCTGCTGCTGTAGTGGAGGAAATGCTTAAGCAAAGTCCTGTTAACAATGGATTAAAGGTAAGTAGTATCTACTGAGGTTTGACAGGACTTGAAGCCAGAAAATTACTGGAACCTCTGACTCTCTTATCATCAGGTTAATCATCTGCTGAGTACCTGTGTGTACCTGGGCTTTGAGGCTGATCCATCAGCAAATATTACTGTGCGCATTCGTGGACCAAATGTGAGCTCCCTTAATCTAACTTTGCTCTTTTCGCCTGGTTTATTGAGTTATTGTGGTATGTTGCCTATCAAGGGTGAATTTCCTTATAAAATTTTCGATTTATGAATTCTCGCATATTTAACGACATAAAAATAGGATCCCTTTTTTTGTGATTTACTATCCATTTGCCTTATCAATTTCTTTTCCCTATTTGTTGTGATTTGCTGGCAAATTTAGATACCGGGGAAGTTCATTCAGCTGTTACTTCTCTGTTATTGATCAGATATTGGCATCATTTATTCTCTTTATTGATCAGATTCTGGTCTGAGTAATTATATGATTGTTCCTTCCAGTAGTTTGGGTGTAGTCCATTCTCCACCCTGCCTGGCTAATTATCTTATTTATCTCTTTTGGCATTATGATGCTTGATGTGCTCCTTTAAACTTTATTCTTATTGATAGAAAGCCAAGAGATTCTAATGTTCTGAGCTCTCTCTGACATCTCCGTCCATTTGGAGAGATTTTCTTCTGTGCTGGTGGTTGGCTTTTTGTAAGTGCAGGATCAGTATATAAATCACATTATGAATGAAACTGGAGCAACTGTCTTGCTAAGAGGACGTGGTTCGGGATATTCAGATGAAGGAGAGGGAGAAGGTGCCTATGTGTTGATTAAGATGCAATTATTTTCCCATGCTCCATAGCATGATAAGAATGGTTATCAATAGTGTGCCACTGGCTAGATTTCTCAGCTATGAAAAAAATTTAGTTATTCCTCATAAATGTACTCTTTTAATGTGCAGATGTGCACCAACCTCTGCATTTACTCATATCAAGCAATAACAGTGCAAGTCTTGAGCGTGCGAAGCTTTTGGCAGAAAATCTTTTGGATACTATTTGTGCAGAGTGTGGTGCTTCTAGGTATGCATGTTGCTCTGAGTATATGAAATGTGATTGCAACCTGTTAGCTTTCGTTCAGAAGAGGTTTATGTGGGCTGTTATTTTGTTATGATTCTTTTTCTTTTATTGGGCTGAGTCCTATATCCTCATATGTGTGACTGTCGATCTGCAGAGTCTCTTCTTGTAAGGTTTATGGAGCTGTTCCGCCTCCACTGCAACCGTTAGCCAGCGTTCAGGTTTCTGGAAGTGAATCAGAAGTCAATAACATACCCACAGCCAATGTAGCTGCACAGATTTTGAGCTTCTCAACAGCAGCAGCAGTTCCCGTGACTGCAGCTGCAGGTGTGACTGGTGTTGTTTCTCAGGGTACAGTACCTCAATCTCTAGGCTCACTGAATCCTGTGCCATCTCAACCTCCCACCAGTTGCTATCCTCATCAATTAGTTGCAAGTAGAACAAGCTATATTGGTTATGATGGTATATATCCCCAAGCCACTGCTTTGCAGCAAGTTGCTTTGGCTCTTAGGCAATCTACTTCTCCAGTCACTACCACAGTTCCTCCAGCAACAACGGGACCAAGCATCACTTCACAGACAAGTACAGGTACTGAGAAGGACAAGCGCCCTGCACAGAAGCGTAAATTTCAAGAATTGCCGGCTGGTGGAAAAGGCCAATCAACTGTAAACCAGGTATGTGCTTAGTCTCCTTGACCTATACAAAGGTATCTCCAGGCAATTGCCCTTAACTGGCTTTTGATGAGAAAATTCTAATGGTCATCTTCGAGTCAAGTACATAAAGCTTCATGATTGACCAGAGATGGGGAATGAATATTGAAAGCATTTCATGTTATAATTTCTGGCATATGAACCTAAACTTGAGTATCCAGAAGTTCCTCCATTATCACTATCTGCTTGTTAAAGTATCCAATGGGGCACTGGCTGTGCAAAAAGTTTTGCTCCAAGCCTCCAAAATAAGCCCATCTCTTGGATGAGAACTAAAATGGCAGATGATATCATGTAAAAAAAAAGAAATAAGAAAAAAAGGGGGAACTATAGATGATATATTAGTACTGCCATTGCTACTGTTCCAACTCAATTTAGTGGAAGATTGAGGGGTACATGTATCACTAATCTGAATGGATCAAAAGCATCTCTAAGTACTTCTGTTTAGCCATTTATTGACCACCCACTATGTGGTATCTATCAGATCGACTGCTAGAGTGACAATATTACTGAAGAAAGATGTTGTTTAATGTGAGACAAGTTTCCCCTAGTGGTTGTGACTAGAGGTCACTGAAGTTGTATTGTTTCCCATTCCTCATTTGGAGGGCCTCCACCAAATCACGAAGTTCCTGTGATTTCTCCAAATTTATGCTCTGAAACAAAGCCTTCATAAACTGTGGTGCTATGTGGCATATCTATAGCCTGTGCATCTGCCTTGTTATATCTGAAGTTGTGTCCCTTAATTGCCTTTAATTGATTCTCACTGCTTGAGTGATCTTCTGCACAGGAATATGCTGTGTATATGAATTATGATAGATTCTTCACTTTACCTTCCACTATATAAATGGTATTAATAGAAGGATGAAGTACAGCTTGTGTAGCATGATGACTGGCAAAATTGGGATTTATCAGATTCTCTTATTTTTGGGTCTCTTTTAAACTTAGTTTACCATTCATCCTACATCTTAGTTTCTATTAAAAAAAGACTTTGTTGTTTCTCATTTTAAATTTTTATCACATTGCTGTTGTAAATGGAGCATTTGAAATTTCTCAAATTTCCTTCCCTTAAGATATTTTTCAGTTAAAAACATATATTTATTTCTGGTCTAACCTTTTCTACTTGATATTCCAGGTAATTTCTCTGACCTTGTATGAAGCTAACAGGCTGTGGAACTCTGTTGGACCTTTGTATGTTTCACAGGATTCTGGATACGGAGGAGGCATGGGGTTGCTACGTGCTATTTCAGTTTTATGGTGCCGATGCAAAGATACCATGCCCCTTCTGGTTTTGGCATTCTGTCAAATGTTAATATGCTAATATGTGCACTTTATTAATCAACTTTGCTTCAAGTACTAAAAGGGTAATGAGATCGAGATCACAATACATTCTGCCTGTGAGGCTTTCAAACTGTTTCAACTTTACTCTAGAAGAGAAAATGTTTTCTATTGGTATCTGCAATATATGCATTTTCTAAACATGATGATCTAAGCTCCTTGTAGCAAGTGATAGAAAAAAAAAGTCAAGCTGCAAAGTTGAAACAGTCCAATTTATTCATGTCAACCAATAATTCTTAGGATCATGCATTTATTTTAAACTTCCCTTGCCTGCTACTATACAAGTAAAATAATGTTAAAAGTATGCTCTCGAAAAACTCAAATTTTTATCTCCTTTTTTCCTGGAATTTCTAAGTTTTCTGGATGGACTCTCCCTCCCCCCTTTTGGTTGCCAGAATCCACTGCAGGGTACGGAGCTTCTAATGCTTCAGGAACGAATGTCAGACAAAGGTGATAGAGACAAAATTGGTACTCCGGCTCCCAGAAAGTTGGTTCAGCCCTTATCCAGTTCAATGCTGCCGCCGCCACCTCCTAGAATGATGCCTCCACTGCCACCGCCACCAAAGTTTCAATCATCCTCACAGAAAGTGCATGACAACAATGTGGTTAATAAAGCACCATGTAAAATTGTTCCAGGTATTTGCCATCACTCAAGCTTTTTCAGTCTCAAGATTTCAATAAACTCTTGCTTGGTTTGTCTATTAGTGATGACCTACCTATCTTCATTACCCCTTTTTTTCTTGCATTTCTTGTTACTAAGTGGAAGTGTGAAAATCCATTAGGTCCAAGTAACATAGTAGAACTTCTTTTACTTTTCATTTTTATCTTCCACTTCTTATTTTTGTATTATATCAGTAAGTATGAGATCAGCTTAAATGGGTTGAAGTTCACTGAAGATCTATATAAGAGACCCCAAGTAGCTTAGGATTGAGGCCTTGTAGTAGTTGTTATCAGACATAACTTGTCTATTCCATTTTTACAGTTGAGAAATATGAGAGTGTGTGTATTCAATTGTTTGATTTGATTTGTGCATCTCAGATACATTAGTCCAGCTAATGGAATATGGGGATGACGACGACGATGATAATGATGAAGCAATTGACGGACCTTTGAAATGTAGCTCAAGTGCGGTAGCAACTCCAAAGCCATTCTGGGCTGTTTAATAATGACCACTGCACATCTCTTTAGATTTTGGCAACAGCTGAATGTGCATTAGAAGTTGAATGGTTGTTTTCAATTGACCTGGAATTGGCTGTGAACTATATAATATGTACCCTTCCCCACCCCAGCAAAAAGATGAGGGGAGCACCAAATGGAGGAAAAGAGGAAAGGAGAGTTCTGTAGTATTGTGCCAAGTTGATAATACCCGAGTGTAGGTGATGCCCTATGTAAAATGACTTGTAGAGATTCCGCAACCTTGTATTTCCATTATTCTTTCCTCTAGAAAGTTGAAACCAGAAGTTGTTTGCTGCTGGCTTGTAGTTTCACTCTGAACTCTTTATAAAACAAAGAATGCCAGCAGTGTAACCTACTATTTTGTTTCAGTATCAATATGCAGTTATTTGAAACTCAGGCAATTAGCAAGCTATTGAGTGTATCGATGTTGTCGAATGTAACGTAAGGAAGCACTTCCACTTACTAATTATGGGTTCTAGTCAGTTTAACGCACATTTTTCTTGTTTCTAATTGCCTATTTAGTAAATGGGCAAATGCCACAATCTTCATTTTAGCCACAAGGTCAAGAAAGTCATCACAAATGCCTTAAAAGAAACGAAGAGTAGCAAACGATTCAGCACTGTACATTGAACAAAATCAGTACTTGGAGAGCTCCATGAACTTAAGCACACTTTCAAAAGAAAGAAGAAATTATGAAACGAGTAGAGTATAATCCTACAGATTGATTAAACTAGATGAAGCATACAACCAGTAGCAACCCTGCTGGAAATAGAATATACTTTCTTTAACTCAACACATCTTGTGAACATGTACTCATCAAAGCCAAAGTTGGTGAATAGCATATTAGGATTTATTGTCAACCCCTTGAGTTGGCATAGTCATTTGGCTCATCATTGTCATCTCTGTGGCTTCCTTCTACACCTGGTGTGAAATCATTGTTTACAGATTCAGTCCCTTGGTCTGCACTAGGCTGTTCTTCGCCACCATTGTGCGAGGTCCCAGGGCTCCCACCGAATTCAGAGTTGTTGAAGAAATCATTACTACCGGAAACACCAGCGTTGTAATTTCCACTACTCCCACCACCATGTCTAGCCCCAAAACTATCCCCACCATAATTGCCACCACCAGCAGGGTAACTGTTGTTGCTACCATAGTTACCACCACCTCCATAATTGGCAGATGAGTAACCTCCAGCTCCCCCACCATAGTTAAATCCACCTCCACCACCAGAACCACGCCCAAATCCTCCAGGACGCTTTTCTGTGGCATAATTCACCCTTATCCGTCTCCCGTGGAGATCCTGCAAAATTATGCAACAAATTTTAGCGAAGACTAGTCCCAAAAACTTTTCAAAAAAAATTCATTCTCAAATGACGGAAGAAAATAGCAAAATGTAATTTGTCCATGATATAAAAGAACGGGAAAACGAGATGAAGTCCTGATGGAATTTTGACCCAATAGAACCTTATTGGTTAGCACTAGATGGAAACACCACCCTGTCACTAAAGCTAACTAATCAATTTCTTCCAGTAATTGACAGTGGAATACGGTGAATAAAAAGAAAGGGACAACAACATGAAATTATCACCTGATACTGGTCTCAAAAAGTTGTTCAAATATTTCATCTCATTTAACGGTAAGAAAGAGTCAGAAGCAATTTGATCTTAATATTTAAGAAAGGCACAATAACATGAAGTTACAAAATTTTCATGTAATAGAACCTATTAGATGGAAACCATCATAGATGGAGTGGACTAAGATGGATAGCATCTTTAGGAAAATAACATAACTTGTCTGACACTCTGACCACACAAAGTGATTCAAAAAACAAGAAGGCGATTATCACTCTTCAAGAAGAATTGACACCGGTGCTCCACGAAGAAAGCTGGGCATCATTACCTGGCCATCCAAGGCACTCAGGGCACTTGATGCTTCTTCAGCAGATGTATAAGTAACAAAAGCAAACCCTCTAGATCTCCCAGTGTCGCGATCAAAAATAACTCTAGCTGCACGAGTTACACATTATCATTTAGTTAATTTCTTTTTTTTGTTTAGGGCACATCAATTTTATAGGCTCCATGAACCACATAAATGGAGTAAGCTGCAAAATTTTATTTTATCAGAGGTCAAAACATAAATCAAGTACCTTCAATCACTTGACCATGTTGGGAGAATGCCTCTCGCAGAGAGGTTTCATCAGTGCCATACGAGAGACCTGCAGCAGATAGTTGGCCATTATAGAGCAACAAAAAGAAGGAAAAAGAGCATAGCAACTCCGTCCAACTGGGAACAAAATCCTTTTACCTCCAACAAAAAGCTTTGAAGAAGACATGCTTCTTATAGCCTGGTAAAGTGAGGTTCTAGAGGCACACAGTTCCAAATTCGTGTGTCTGCTTACACTCTGTTTAAGCATATTTCCAATTCTATTGAACAAAGCCATCTTTAAACCTATGAAAAGAACAGAGTGGCAGGAATCCATATTAAAAATAACACGAGAATAAATGTTAAAGATGTTAGATTCAGAAGAATCTTTGATTGTAGCATAGTTCCACCATATTGCTGAAAGGCACTAGATGTCGTGAAACAGTGTAAAACAAAAGAAAAAGGATGGCTCCTTTTCTCCGACCTCATATTTCGTCCCTATTTATATAGCAGTGACATTCCAAAATATGTGAACCATCCCATCAAAAAAATTACTCAATACAACTTTCACCATTTCATGACTTCTACGAATTCAAATTCTTTTTTTTTTTTTTGGTTTCCCATCCAGTGTCCAATACCCACGTTGTAGCCTAACTAAATACGAATTCACGCTAGGAAGTCCCACATTGAGGGTAAAGTGCTCCCTAACAAAAGCGACTCCGTAACCAGGGAGACTCGAACCCAAGACCTCTGATTCCTTGTTGGTCAAATTCATTTTGATATCAAACTAACTTCCCATTTCTTTAATAGTTTCTTCCACTTAAAAGAACATACTAATAACTAACTCCAATAAACAAGTTCAGTCAAACATAGTCAAACAAAATAGCACAAAGGGAACACATTACTCTTCCATATACAACACACAGACATTTCCCATGAAGCAATCGCTCAATCAATCAGAACCCATCAACAAAAATATCATAAAGATCGTATTTTTATAAGCAATCAGCATCCCAATATGCTCACTACTGATCCCAAAACAAAAAAAAATCAATAAGCTGTAATTGAAACTCCAAGATCATAAAATGGGAAACGATGGAACAAGTTGAATTAATAACAATTTATCTATAAAATGAAAACCCTTTAAAATTAAGCAAAACGGAAATGGATATAGGAAGAATTCAGAAGAAACGTACCTCTGTTGCCCTTAAACCCGGTGAACTCAGTCAGTAGGGTTTTAGAACTTTGTGGGTATAAATATTGTAAAATATATTGGCCATACGATTGAAACTTGGCATGATCTGGGCCGTTGGATGAAAGGGGAGTGTCAACTCAAATTTATTTACATACTCCTTTCGTCTAGAAACATCTAAATTTTTTACCGTAGAGGCGGCTCCATTCTTCTTTTGACACTTCGATAATGGATCCATTTTTTTACTTTTTTACTATTCTTCTTCCACTTACTCTTCTTTTCTTTCATTTTTTTAAACTCTTTTTACTCATGAGTCCTAATAAATATTTAACTCCCAACTATATAAGTAAACAATTGATATAATTAATAAAAATACTAATAAATATTTTTTGTCAAATGAAAACATTCTCATGACTGAATATTAAAAATAATTTTATTATTCAATATAGTTAATAGTATAAAATTAACTTGAAAAAAATCAGTTTCTTAATTATTAGCATTTTTCAAAAATTAAATTAATTCAAATTTGTTATTTGATAGCTCTTTTTGTTTTGTCTTAGACTTTAGTTCATATATGTGCAGTCATTATCTTAACATAGATTATCAGTTATTTTTTTTTGTTACAATCTTTTAAAATACTTAATGGAAAATGCTAAAGAAATAAAAGTGCAAGCGAATGTGAAGGCCTCTTGATATATAGAAAACGTATAATAATAATAATATAATGAGTAGTTAATTAAACTTGTCAGAAACCAATTGATTCTTGAAGAATAAATTAAGTATTTAAAGTTTTAATTCAAAAGACTTAAATTTCACTATGTGATTTGCTTTATCCTGCATAATTTTTTAAAATCGTTTATAAATTCATCCCATTTGTCCTGTTTATCTCGTTAGTATTTTTATTTTAAATTATAATTAAGATGAAAAAATTATCTATAATTTTTAAACAAGATAAAAAATTGACTTATTTTATTAAAAAACACAAGATAAAAAATTGACATATTTTATTAAAAAATATTGAGCAGTAAGTTTATTTTTAAAATTAACAGTTCTAAAAGTTTTTAAATAATTTAACATAAAATATGTTCATCTATATTTTTTTTATCAGATGTAATAATGATTTAATTATGCATTTAAAAATAAGATATTTATTAAGAATAAAAAAAAAGAAAATAAAAGAAGAGAGGAGTGAGTGGAAGAGAAGTGGTGGATAACATGTAAAAAGTAAGAAAATGGCCCACTATATCCAAGTGTCAAAAGAAGAATGGAGCCTCACACAACTATTGTTGGTTGGATTGGTTGAACCTCTACTGTTATAAAATTTATCTAGAAACATCTACCTATGCTCTTTTCATTAATATCAATTACGTGGCATTATATGATTGGATATGACATTTTAAAAGGGGAAGAATTTTTTATTTTTAGGATAAAAGAGTCTTTTTGGGTAGGCTTATATTTTTTTTTAAAACTTATTTCTTTTATGCTGAAAAATAAGTATTTACTTTTTATCGGCTAAAGTTTGAATTGGTACGGAGTTCATACAAATTAAAACTTTTAAAATTTACTATCTTAATGCTATAGTATTTGTATGATTAAAACTTTTAAAATGTGTGGCTTAAACTTAAATATGTATGTGATTATAAATAATTTCATTAGCATTTAAAGTTTTTAAATAAGTGATATTTATTTTTGAAAATAAAATATATGTATATATATATATATATATATAAGACATAACTAAATATGTTTCAATTTCAAGTTAATTAAATCAAACTATATACATCTGTTATATTTATTTGTTTTACTTGAACCTGACTTGTCAAACACAAAATAATTATGCAACATATGAAATAATAATGCTATTTTTTCAAGAAATATGAAGCGCACACATGTACACACCAAGAGTATCTCGCTCATCTCAATTTTTTCCAAGTTCTAAATAGATATGTGACTATTATGTTACTTAAATATAAAAAAAGTTTAAACTATAATTTTTTAACCCCAAATATTATAGCAATTAACCATTGATTAAAAAGAGTAAATACCTCTAGCTAAAAGTTATTCAAACTATAAAAAAAAAATATCATTCAAACTATAAAAAAATTGTGTAGCAAAATTACTCAACTTTCATTTACCTGAATAAAATTATTTAACTTAAATTTTTTCTCTTATAAAATTACTCCATCAAAATTATCATAAAAATAAGGGAAAAAGTTCAAATATGAAATTGAACTTTGACAAAAAGATTCATCTATATCATCTTTTAAAAGTTGGACTCACATATATGCCCATTCATGACAACATTTTATTAACAAAAAATATATCTAATTTTAAAAATACCTCTTTGTACACTGGCCAATAATGACAACGTCATAACCACATCATTCATTAAATCAATCAAAATACAAAACTCATCTAAATTAAAAAAAGTTTCACCCAAATTAAACCCACCCCACCCAACCCACATCCCTCTTTTCAATCATCAATCCATGTTTTATTTTAGGCATTGTCATGTGTCCCTTTGAGAATTTTCAATAAAATTGAAACGATACAGAAAAAATTAAAATCGACCTCTACACAAAAATAACACGCACAAATCGGAAAATAGTCATTAGTCATGTCATGTCTTGTTGTAAACGAACTTGATACCATTGAAGGGAGCCAACATCTCCATCAATTTCAAGTTCACAAACAGATTTTACTAGATATTCAACAGCATCATCAGTATCTTCAAATCTTGCAAGATCTGGTGGCAGTGTTTTGCCTGGCCAATTTTCTAACCAACTCTTTAACTTGTCCCTTAATTCTTCCTCAGTAACAAATTCCTCTGACTTTCCAGGTTCCATTAGTACATAAGTGTCTGTTTCTATGTTTGATCTTCTCCTTCTTGTAGCCAATGTCTGATTAATTTATTTTACACAAAAAAAAACAAATAGAGACAATTAAGAAAGTGAAGTGTTGCTTAACCTATATCTAATAGATGAATAGATCAAGTGAAGTTTTAAATAATTTTCATACTATCAAGCCGGTCACATTAAGAGCGTGTTATGGAAGTTGATGGAATCTAATGGAATTTGGTGGTTTAATTGAATATAAAGATATTTTGTGGTTTGAAGCAATGTAATGTATTTTCTTGTATATTGACATTATGTTTGTTACATCTTAAGGTAGAATTTCTAATTTAATGGTACAAAATGACATGTCAAGTTATTTAAAAATTACTCAGAATGTGATCTATGTGATTTATGCCTTACATTGGTAAGAAAATTCACTATAATATAATCAAGTTACTTCATAAATACAACTTCACAAGCTGTTGCGTAGTTGCATTTAGGAATTAAATTGGACTAATAATATGTGTGTAATTCAAATATGTTCTTATTAGTCTTTTGGCTATGCTCGGTTAAGTTTCGTGTGAAATAAAGATATTTTGACCCAATTAAATGACGATAAAAATATGATTGAACCAAACTATTAAGGAAAGACAAATATTGTGAATTTCGCGTACTTTAGACAAAGATACCTTTATTCCATTGAGGTGGATGCGTCTACAAGTCACACTGTGGGAAAATGAGGAATTAAAAGGCTGAAAAATAGGTTGCTGCCAATTACATGTATGTAAAATTTGGAGCGGATATTGAACTCTCCATGTTTCTGTCCCTGCCATATGAAATATAAGTAACAATTACTAAAACATTTTGTCTACTTTACTTTACTACAAGGTCCTTTTTCATTTTTTGGGATGTTCACAAAGTGAGAATTATCACAAGATCGTATAATGAGATAATAATTCATTTTAAAATTCAAGAATATATAGGAATGCGTCTTAACAATCAAGAAAACGAACTTTAGATCCATCTCAACTCAAAAAGCTAAGCATAGATAGTGAAGATTGCTACGCGTAGCAAGAGATCACAATTAGTGGCATGCACAGAATTTTTTCATAAATGGTATCAAGATTTGAATAAGTGAAAGATTGAATAAATCGTTATAATAACAAGGGTCATTTTTCATATTATAACTTATCTTTTCATTTTACTTGTGATTTATGAATACATATCTAGTAAAAAAAAATCGATGAGTCAATATCTCTGACATTGCTTAGGGCAAGGTATATCCGTCTCTGGGTCTGGAGACAACAACCCATTTCCAAAATCAATATAGAGGTTCAAACTTGTTGCATAAAAACAGGAAGAAGTGCAAGGATTTCAGTGGGAACTTACCTATACAATTGTACGTTTTATTGCACCACAATTGTGCCTCCATGAGTTGCTATTTTTGAACAATAATGACTAGTTAACTACATATCAGAATGGTTGCATTTCTTCAATTTTTTTGATGAGATGGTTGTAGATAAGATGATGGTTTTCAGCCTCATCTATATATATATATATATATATCCATACTGTTCCTGTGTTTTCCAAATCAGTTAAGTTGTGCAGGCTTGGGAAATTCTGGGCCGAGTATTTAATCCACTTGAGACAAAGCCACAAACATTTACATTTGAAGCTACAACTGGGATATTTAATAAAATGAGGATTAAATTCACAAATAGCCACTTTTCAACTCATGTAATTGAGAGAATAGTTATAGTTATAGCCACAAACTATAACTATTGTATTTGAATAGTTATAGTTTTCTTGAAAAAGTACACAATAGCTAAAATTTTGTGACTACTGACTGGAAGAAAAAAAGAGCATTTAAAGTTGAACGACACTTTCAAATCACTATTTCAATAGCATTGACAAGGGGTGTCAAATGAGCAGGTAGGGATGAATCAGACTGGTCATATTTTTATGTGCTAATTTTTCCATGGAGATAGATTGTAAGAAAAATGGTCTGGTTGCCCTGTCTTCTATGACAGTAATTACTTCGGGTAAATACCGGGCTTTTCAGCTGAAACACATTCAAACTCTAGATTGCCAAGGCACGACCCAATTTGCATGTATGAAGACAATATGCATATATGCTTGAGTGTGTAATGTGAATAAAAGAATAACAGTTTGTTGAAAATCAATAGCCCTAAAATATTACAACATATGACCTTACAAGAATTAATAGCACTAACACTTTGCAAAGAAATGCAACTCCTGGCAAAAT